AGCATCGCTATTAATACGCACTTATCAAATTATGCAACTTGGCTTGTTGCCAGCTTTGTCGCACTCAGGAATGGATCTGAACTTGTTTGAACCGGGCTTTTGGGTTTTAAACAACTAAATCCTCACTTTCTCTTCGTAAGGGTCGAGATCAAACGCGTAAGTGAGCGCGCACTCAAGGCGATTAAAATATCATGTTATTATTTTTTCGGTGGTTACTGCTTATCTTTTGTTAGCAGTTTGTGACGAGGAGACTGTCTTTTTTAAAAACGAGTTTTCAATAAAATAGGTAAATACTACTTGGTGAAACAGTACCATTTTTCACAGTATTAGGATGCAGTTTTAAAACTGATCATTCCATGAATAAATAAACAAACCGTGTACCTTTCAATACTTTAAAATCTATCAGGTCTCTCTCGTCGCCATAATGACAGAACAGATAGAAATTCACTACATTTCAAGAATAAACCATGCATGAGGAAGGCATCGATTTACCTTTTTTTTGAAGGGACGTTTTGCACGAAAAGCAATTTTAACCCTTCTTTTCCAGTTTCATTCCATGCTACGTTTCTCGGTGATATGGCTCAATCAAGCGACGCAAGTTGCTGACAGCAATATTCCTAATGACAATTCAGTTTTGAAATAGCAATTATCAACTTACCGTTGGCAATTCCAGCCACCACAAATAACGCCATCAAAAAAAAATTGGATGTAGAGACAACTGCCATTGTGTTCCGAGAGAAAAAAACTTTTTTTGTTGCCGTGATGTTGTCGACGTGGTGTTCAACGTTCTTTCCAGCTGGGATGACGAGTTAATGCCTTTATCACGAGACAAAAGATATCATTGAAGAAGTGTTCTTATTTCTTATCTCTTTTTAACAGGGGGCATGTGATTGACTTGCCAAAAGACTTTCACCTGCCAAACATATGCGTGTCATATCACGCGAGTAGCAAAGTTTCAATAAACTTTATGGGCGTGTTGAGTCAGTTACATAAGGTTTTCAATCATCGCGGAAAAACCTGCATTACTCAGCAAAGAAGGACAGATTTCGTAGATTGCCTAATACTTGTTCGCGGAAATAAGCAAACAGTTTTATGCCGAAACCGTTTTGTCTTTGCTTGCCGAAGGCTCTAGCGAAACTTGAAGCAGACTGTCGGTTTCACATGTTGTTAGATATTCCTGTGATAAAGATGTTCTTTTATTTAAGGTCAAAGTTTCACGGTTCTAGAAATTGCTCAAAATCATTTAGGTCAGTCATAGCACCTTGAGCAAGTCGCAGGGGGTCGAACTTTGGTCAATAGTTTCTTTCTCCTTGCAGGATGAACAGGAAAAAGGAATACTGAATATTTCGCACGCACTAGCATTATCAGGGGTCGGCGAATGTAGTGCTACTCCTAAAATAGCTTAACTTTGAGCTTATCAACATAGACAATTGGTTTTTGCACTTTATCGTTTGATCCTTCCGGACTTCGAGGGCTCGTGTTTGAACCCGAACAATGAAGACGGCCCTCGCCTAGAAGCATTTTATTACGTTTTAATAGCTGCCTATTCTCCATTGACAATGAAAAACTGCGATAAAATATTATAAAGCATGACACGACGTTTCGACGTTTCCAGAACGTCATTATCAAGTAAACTAAAATAATAAAATCGAGCATATATATAATGAAGCGGTGAATAAATTACAAAACGTTAAAAGTCAAACAAAGAGTTTAGCCCTAATGGAATCGCTCTGGGTGTTTAAATTGGGCCTTATTGTTCTTATGTACAACATTTCATAAACAAGACAATCCCATTTCGTGCCGCATTTTTTAAGCATTCTAAACTGGCTCTCATTGAGTAAGTCAATGTTCCCATGGGCATCTCTCAGGTGGCGACCAATGGCAGAGTATCGATGATCAGCAATGCGTTGAAACAGATGGCGCGTCGTATATCCGACGTAATTTGAATCACACAAATCACATTTAAAACAGTAAACAACACTATGCTGATTTAAGATGCGTGGCTTGATTTCTTTAAGCTTTAGGTCCTGCTCAAGTTTCTTACTGGTGTAGACTGGTTGTACATCAATGCCAATTTTTGAACTGAGATCGCGCATTTGTCTTTTGGCAATGTTCACTGAGATTTGATCTTTGAAAGGAATACTGACTCTTAAAGTTTCAACAGATTTTGTCTTAGTATCTGGTGTAGAGGAATAATCACATTTGTCGATAATAAAGTTCACCAAAGAACTAGGGTAACCAAGGCGATGAAACATAGATTTTAGATGCCTACACTCATCGACGAATGCTTGATGCGTAGAGGACAATTCCTTTGCACGATGAACCATTGTTTTGATAAGACACTTCTTGTAGCGCAAATCGGTGTGACTTTGAAAGTGAAGTAAAAGGCCCGTGTTCGTAGGTTTACGATAGACCTGAGTCTCCAGCTTGTTGCCGTTCTTTGTTATCAACGTTCCAATAAAAGGAATTGAATCGTTGTTGGAAAGTTCCATAGTGAAATGAATACTAGGGTGGAGTCCATTGAGTACATTGAGGAAACTTACAGCTACATCGAGTCCAGGCATTATTGCAAGCGTATCGTCGACATAACGCTTGTAATAAGAAGGAAT